ATTTAATCGAATATATTGATATTGATAAATTTTAAGAAATGAATACATAACTAATAGTAATTGTGAGTATTTAAATCTAATTTAGTTCATTAATTTCTTAAAATATATTTTCATTCGTTATTATATATATAATGTATATTACTTTTTAATTGTTTTTATAATAATTAATTTTTAGTTACTTTTTCATTTTTTCAGGATTTCATAATTATTATATTGTTATGATTATTATTTTTTAAATTTTAAAATATAAAATAATTGATGTTGAGGGGTAAGTGTTATAAATGATACTTGAAATGATAAGTGTTACATAGGCAATTAGGGTTGGGACTGGGTTGGGTTGGTCGATTACCAGCCTAAAAACCAACTCATCCGACAAACCAATTTTGCTCAAATTTGAAAATCGTAGCCGACCCAATCTTTGTAGGTCGGTCGATGGTTGGCAACCTAATATTTGGTTTTCAAATGGGTCGGTTGATGAGTTATACCCGCCATCTAGTTCACTTAAAAAGATACCAAATTTTGGAGTAAAATTATGCACATTTTGCATAATGCCACCGCTGAATCATCATTTATCTGTTTAAAATAATTAATAGCAAATTGACAAAAAATATAATTAAGATATTAAAAGTAATCAAGAAAACATACCCCTTTATTTTATAATTTTTAATAAAATTTTAACGATATAGTTGGTTGACCGATAATTTTTTGATAATATTAGAAACCATCAACCGATCCATTATAAATGAGTTGGTCGAAATTTTCCACCCAATCCAACAGACCAGTTAAAAAATTATTGTCCACCTAAAAAGTAATTGGTAATGAATCAGTTGGTCCCAGCCCTATAGCAATACTCCAAGGGTGCAAAATGTATTTAACCTTATTTTCAATTCCAATAAAAAAATATTCGGAAAAGATATGGAAATCGACCGAAATTGGAATTCGTTCCTACTGGGCTACTTGCATCCTTACCCATGCCAGCAAATGATGAGCTGGATCCCACGCGCCTTTGCTCAAGGCACACTTTCCGATGATATTTTTTTTCTTTTTTGATATTCTAAATTAGTACTATTAATTAACTACTATTAACATCAATAACTAGGGTTGTGTTTGGTAAGCTTTTGGGCTTCCATTTCCATTTTATTTTGGGGAAAGATATTTTAGGAGAAGAATTTGAAAATTAAATAAAGTTTGTTTGTGTTTTGGGAGGAGACAATTTGTACTGTAGCAAGTTAAATTAGACATGGCCACGGGCCGGGTCGGGTCCGGGTCCGGGTCGGACCCGCCGGGTCCGGGTCCTACTTTTTTGGGACCCGAAACCGACCCGCGTGGAGGCGGGTCCGGGTCCGGGTCGGGTCCACTTGGGTCCTCCGGGTTCGGGCCGGGTCCGAGTCGGGTCCGGGTCCAAAATCAGTTCTTGAATATTTTTTTTTTTAATTTAATTTTATTATTTTCGGGTCGGGTCCGGTTCGGGTCCGGGTGGACCCGAATTTCTAGCCGTTGAAATTAAAAAAAAAATTAAAAATTTTGAATTTTCGGGTCAGGTCCGGGTCGGGTCCGGGTGGACCCGAATTTCTAACCATTATAATTTAAAAAAAAAAAACATTTTTTGAATGATCGGACCAGGTCCGGGCCGGGTCCGGGTCGGGTCCGGTTCGGGTCCGGTTTCTAGCCGTTGCATTTTCGAATTTTGAAAAAAAAAAAAAAAATTATTCGGGTGGACCCGACGGGTCCTCGGGTTGGGTCCTCGGGTCCGGGTCCTCGGGTCCACCCGCCGGGTGGACCCGTCGGGACTCGGGTCCAAAATATCGGGACCCGAAACCGACCCATACATTTCCGGGTCCGAGTCCAGGTCCATGGTCAACGGGGCGGGGCCGGGGCGGTCGCCGGGTCAGGTCCGGGGCGGGTCCGGGTCAGACCCGACCCGTGGCCATGTCTAAGTTAAATTATGTCTGAAAGGTGTTGGGAAAAAGGTATTTTGGAAGAAGAATTTAAAAGATAAAGTGATTTGATTTTGTATTTTAGTGAAGACATTTTTTACTGTAGCGGTCTAATCATATTTGTTAGAGAGAGAAATATTTGAATTTGTTTTGGAGAAATTTTTTGAAAATAGTGTAGAAAGATAATTTTCATTTTGGGGAAAGTGTGAAAAGAATTTGAAAAGCTTAACAAACATAGCCTAGGGTTTTATATTCCCAATTTAAATACTTCAACTAAACTGTAGTTACCTGGTGACGGTGGAGGCGGCACCAACGACAGCACCCCAGGAGGCGGCGCCGCCGCCGTAGAAGGTGGCGTCGAAGCCGGCACAAGTGGTTCTTGAAGCCTGGTGATATTGTAAAATTGCTGATTCACATAACGATAAATGCAGCTGGGTGTATAGACTCTGATCCCAGTCGAATCATTAATATATCCCTGTATATATCCGGCGGCCTCCACCAAGCACCTAGTGCAATTCTCCGCCGACAAATCCGGCGTGCACTGCAACAGTGTAAAAATTCCCTGATCATCCGGCCCCGTCGTATTCCCCGCCGCCGCCTTCCTCAGAGATCCGCCGTCCGCCGCACGCGCCCGAACATCGTCCAACAGCTCTTCCCGGGCAGCCCTGAACCGGACCGGACTCGTCGAGTTAGTCCCAATATACAAAATCCTCGCCGGACTTGTCGACAGCCTCCCCAAAAAGGACTCGTTCGAGTAGCGCACCATACAGAATTCGGACCACATAATCGCCCCGAACTGATTCGGACAGTTGACTAGGATCGTTTGCGACACTATGTTGACGCAGCCCTGGCACTGGTTGAGCTGGACGTCGCCTCTGCAGAGGGCGGCGACGTTGGCTCGGCCGACGGAGGCGCTGTAGAAGCCGCCGGCGTTCATGTTTGAGGAGAGAGAGCGGAGAACGCCGTTTAGATCCGCACGGTACAGGCTCTCCGTTGTGTAGTTTCCGGTTGTTGAACAAACGAACTCCTCGAATTGCGAAACTGCCATTGGGATAATCATCTGAATAATTAAAATTAAGGGCAGCCATTTCTTGCAGTAGCTCATGATTCCTGTTGTGGTCGGAATTTGTATACAAGCGTTGTGTATATAATATGCAGCGCGTCAAGGGTCAAAAGACAATCCGTGTTGAAATTAATCAATTATTATTGGGTAAATTACAAAAACCCCTAAAGTATGGTCAAATTACAAAACCCTCCTCTTGTTTTGATAATTACATCTACCCCTCAACTATGATTTTTACATCTACCCCTCAACTATAATCATCTAGATTCCGTGAAATGTGCTCTAGTCGTTTTGTGTAAAAATACAGTTTATAATGCACCACAAACTAATATATACAAGTTAAAAATCACATATTATGATCATCTTGCTTCATAATGTAGAGTTTGAATGGGATAAAACGGGTGCAAAAGTGATAATATTCCATATAATCTCGAAGATTCTACTAAATTTGAAGAGTTGAGGGGTGGTTGTAATTATCCAAACAAGAGAGGTGTTTTTGTAATTTGACCATACATCGGGGGTTTTTTTGTAATTAATCAATTATTATTAGGTTGGCGGCTTGGAATAAATAGTCCCGTTCAAACATGGTGTTCATTATTAATCAACAAGTCTATTGGCGGAACGATATCAAAATATTGGCAGCTTCTATATATTATCGACTCCAGTCTAATTCATCGATATTAAATTAATATTGACACCTTCTTGTATCGACTCCAATCCCTTTCACTTTTTTCTATTTATAAATGAACAACGTTATATTTATCGAGTCAACTCTCAAGTCTCATTCATCGGTAATTCACGTGGTGTTTACCTAGGGGTGAGTTTCGTATAAAACCCGTCAAAAAATACCAAGACTGACTGACTGACGTATTGTAAGTGCTGTTTTATGATACAACTCTTAAATACTTCTTTTAATAAAACACAACTCCTCAATACTTCTTTTAATACGAAAATGCGCAAATTATTTTGGACCATTTGAGAAAGATCTACTTTTAATTTCAGTCACCTATTTTTCCAATTATGTCCTTCCACCTTATACACTATCGGCTCACTCCGCCCATGACCCATCAGAGGTCTTTTTTTTCTTTTTTTTATACTAGTTATTACTATTTTATTATTTTATTATTACTGTACTCATTTTTGTAAAAAAACAATTTTTTTTAATTTTTTTTTCTCTATCAGGTATATATTAATCGACTATGAAGTATATTAAATCGACTATGATGAACTACAGTCGATTAAGGAACCGGCTACTAAAAATATCAAATCACAACTACAAAAATACAAACTCAACTATATTTTACAAAAACAAACAATATACAAACATTATAATTGATTTATACAATTGGAATCAATAAACAAAAAATCCAAAAAAGAAAAACAAATTGGAGTCAATGAAACATATTAATCGACTATGATGTGAAGCCTAGTCGATAAAGAATCTGCTACTAAAAATAACAAATCACAACTGCGAAAAATGTAAAATCATCTATTACAAAAAAAAATATACAAACATTATAAATGATTTATACAATTGGAATCAATAAACAAAAAATTCAAAAAAAAATTAAAAAAAATTGGAGTCGATGAACCTTAATCGACTACCAGAGTATAGTCGATTTAGCTTAATCGACTATGAACATGTACATAGTCGATTAAGGTTTCAGCCTGCGCGAAATTCTCTACACGCGCCGTCATCCGCTCAATCCACCAAAAAACCCTAAATCTTCCTCCCAATCGTCACCACACCACCTCCACAACACACCATCACCACCTTACTTTGATATTATGACAGTTTTTTTTTATTACAAATAAATACATAAAATCACAACTCGCACCTGTTGGGTTTCGGGCACGTATACGCAGCGGAAAACAAAAAATTTTACGTGATTTAAACGACTTTAAAACACACAAGTACATGCCCGATAAATTAAATCAATTAATTGCGTACCTTTGCGCTTCCAGCGAAATTAAAAACAACATACATGCTAATAAATTTAACCGAATTTAAATCAATTAACATGCTCGCATTTAAACCAAATAACATGCTTGCAACGATTTAATCGATTACACATAATCACATAAAATCATACAAACATAAGCATGAAATCATAGTTTAAATTTAAACCCTAAAACGAAACTAGGGTTTCGAGTATTTACCTCTTGACGCGTGAGGTAGGAGTGAACGATACGTCGTGATTACTACGGAAACCAATCCGTAGAATCGGGGCAGCAATGGAGCAGCAGCAGCGGCGGTGTGGCAGCTCACGGCGGCGCGTGTAGAGCACGCGCGGTCTTCCGGGGCGGCGCGTGGGGCAGCGTGCAGCTTCGGCTCGTGCGTTGCTCCTCGATTCTTCGATCTACGGTCTTCCTCCTCTCGGATTTCACCTCGTATACTTCGATCTACTAAATCGTGGCACTAGACACGAAATAGTTAGAATAAAACGGAAAGAATAATGAAGGAGAAAGGATACCGAACAAGAACGGCCGACGAACGGCCGTTTTCCGGCGACGGAGCGACGCCAACGGCGGAGGTGGACGCGCGGGAGAGGGGCGAGAGAGAGAGAGGTCGGCCGCTTAGGGTTAGGGTTTTTGTTATTGTGTGCTAGGGTTATAAATCATGTATTTATAGTCCCTTGCATGAAACCCTAGCGGGCTTAAGTTGGACTGGGCCCAACAGCTTAAGCTCGTTAGTTTCTTTAATCGCTCGTATCTCTCAATTCAATGATCGAAAAATTGTAACGATTACATTTTCCGAGTCATTATAATTTTCTCGTCATTACGAGTGCCATCTCTTATTTTCCAACTTTCCAAAAGTGGAAACCCTAGTTCAGTGGACTTTCTAAATTTGGAAACTTCCCGATTTAGAAAGTTCACTAACACGTTCGCTTATTCTTTTCCTTTTCTTATTCTCATTCATAATTCCAAATTACGAATGTTGGACTCAATCATATTGACTTCCAATTATGCAAAGATAAACTATTTTATCTCTGACCGTTTATTCAAAGATCTCATGTGCACGAGCAGTGTGACCCTCGATGGTTCAGGTGTAAGCTAGCCGTGGGCCCACAACTCTTTGTGGTCAAAACTCGTCCCTTAGAGTTACGATTAAGATGAAGCTCGTTTCACCTTAATCACCCAACGAATCAAGATTGGCGTCTAGCAACTACGCGTCATGATTCCCTAGATACAAATGAAGTGCCTGCAAGAACCTTCAGATATAGTTAACGTACAGTACGGTCCCTTCGATTCATATGTCCCGATTGAATTAGAGGCATTGGTTCATCGAGACCTCTTTATATGTTCAATAACGGTGCGATCGTTCTAAGTGTTGTAATCCTTACGTGCATGACTTAAAGAATCGAATTCTCTAATCATCACTTAGTCAGCTCTGGCCAGAGACTTAGAATGATTACAAACTTTCAGAACACACAGGACATCCAAGACTATTCTAGCGATCGAATCCCCGACTACAATGCACAGACCTCCCACTAGATTTCGGACTGCACGAACACTGGCCCTTGGGATGGTCCTCGGTGGAACTCAGGGACAGGTCACGATACAGCTGGTCCTCTAGTGAAGTCACGGTGATGTCTAGGTCATAAGGACTAATGGTGTACAACTATACCATAGATATCTCTACTCGATTATTGGGAACCACTTAGAGATTTCTAGGGTGAGGGAGTTCAGTGAACTCGTCAACTTACGAGCACCCACTTATGCATGCCGATATCACAATACCGTTTACTGATGAGATGCAGTACACATACACTAAGTGCTAGTCTTAATGGGAAAGGCCGATATCCTCATTAGTGGCGTAACCCTTCGACTAGGAACACGTTTAACAGTTATAATACTTAAGTAAATATCTCACGATCCTAACGATCAATTACTAGTACTTGTAATAACTGTAAGGACTATATCTATGCTTGTGACAAAGGGACAAAGATATAGAATGCCAAGGTGTTTTATCATTAATACGAATAAAGGTTCGTTTATTACAATAATAAATACGAAAAACCACAGCCACATGTTGGCTTGTTGGTCACCTACTCTAACAATCTCCCACTTGACCTAAAGCCAACTACCCATAAACCGCAATCCCATCGACTCTCGATGTTTCTCATGGACCGATCTTGGTAAAGGCTTCGTGAAGGGGTCTGCAACGTTCTCTTCCGAGGTGACTCGTTCTACCTTAACTTCACCTCTATCAATGATCTCTCGGATCACGTGATACTTCCTCAGAATATGCTTCGACTTCTGATGAGATCGCGGCTCCTTAGCTTGTGCCACGGCTCCGGTGTTATCACAGTACAACGGTACTGGATCACTAGCATCAGGAATGACACCCAACTCTTGGATGAACTTCCTTATCCAAGTCCCTTCCTTTGCAGCTTCGGACGCTGCAATGTATTCCGCTTTGGTAGTGGAATCGGCCGTCGTGCTTTGCTTGGAACTCTTCCAACACACGGCACCACCATTAAGCGTGAATATAAATCCAGAATTCGACTTTGAGTCGTCCACGTCCGATTGAAAACTAGAGTCAGTGAAACCCTCTAATTTCAACTCGGCACCCCCATAGACCAAAAATATATCCTTAGTCCTTCGCAAGTACTTGAGGATATCTTTCACGGCTTTCCAGTGAGCCGGGCCGGGGTTAGACTGATATCTGCTTGTGACACTCACAGCATACGCAATATCGGGTCTCGTACATAGCATGCCATACATTATGCTTCCTATGGCAGAAGCATAGGGCGTCCTTTTCATCTCCTCGATTTCACTAGGTGTTTGGGGACACATAGATTTCGAGAGACGAACCCCATGGGACATTGGCAAGAATCCCTTCTTGGATTCTTCCATGCTAAACCGTTTCATAACGGTGTCTATGTACAGGCTTTAGGATAAGCCAAGCATCTTTCTTGCTCTATCTCTATAGATGCGTATTCCTAATACATAAGATGCTTCTCCCAAATCCTTCATTGAGAAACGTGTGGACAACCATGCTTTCGTTTGTTGCAACATTCCTACGTCATTCCCAATGAGTAGAATGTCATCAACGTAAAGCACTAAAAATATCACTGCCCTCCCACTAACCTTCTTGTATACACAAGGTTCCTCCGGATTCTTCTCAAAATCAAACTCTTTGATAGTTGAGTCGAA